CATCATATGACGTCCTTCCAGAAAGCGCTCTCCTGCACGCACACCCGGCGATCTCCATGATCTCTGTGTCCTATGGTAAAAGGCCAATCACAGTGGCATTTTACTATATGATCAGCCGTGTCCAATGAAAGTATTGCCGAGAACCGGCAGTTGTCAGAAGAGGGATAGGCACGATCATCAGGGCACTGATGATCAGTGCCCTGATGATCTGTGCCCAGCACTGCCACCCAGAAGTGCCGACCACAAGTGCCCAGCATTGCCGAGCACAAGTGCCCAGCAGTGCCACCCACCTGTGCCCAGCAGTTCCCACCAGTGCCACCCACCAGTGCCCATCAGTGCAACCCAGCAGAGCCGGCCAGCAGTGCCACCCATCAGTGCTCAGCAGTGCCACCAGTCAGTGCCCAGCAGTGTCGCCAGTCAGTGCCATCAGTCAGTACCCCCAGTCAGTGCCCATCACCAGTGCCAGCTCATCAGTCTTGCCTGTCAGTGCCACCTGTCAGTGCCCATCAGTGCCGTCTATCAGTGCTGCCCATCAGTGCCGCCTATCAGTGCCACCTCATCAGTACCACCTCATTAGTGCCGCCTATCAGTGCCCATCAGTGCCGCCTATCAGTGCCCATCAGTGCTGCCTATCAGTGCAGCCTCATCAATGCACATCAGTGAAGAAGAAAAATTACCTGTTTGCAAAATTTTATAATAGAAACAAAGAAAAACTTTTTTTTTCAAATTTTTTGCTCTTTTTTTGTTTATAGTGCAAAAAATAAAACACCCAGCAGCGAGTAAATACCACCAAAAGAAAGCTCTATTTGTGGGGAAAAAAATATAAAAATTTCATATGGGTACAGTGTTGCATGACAGCACAATTGTCATTCAAAATGTGACAGTGCTGAAAGCTGAAAATTGGCCTGGTAAGGAAGGGGGTATAAGTGCCTGGTAGGCAAGCGGTTAATAAACCAATGAGTACCCCCCCCAAAAATACATACTAGACCCTCATTTTCCTTGTTGAGGGTCTGATATGGTCTGATATAGAGGATCATCTATGGTACTATGCAAAGGGTTTGCTTTTAAAAGAAAACAAGTGTATATTTTCAGTATTAGGATGAACTAAGTGTATGGCTGAAAGGTTGAAAGCTAAGTAAGAAGGAAAGAAAATCCACCAGCAGATATAAGCGTTATATGACTCTGTTGCCCAAGTAAGGAGTCCATCAAATCTGGTGAGGGTGGTTTTTGATAGGGAGGGTCACTGAAGAGCACCTTAAAAAGCACCTGTCATCTTTTTTGAAGAGCACTAGTCATTTCTTATGCTGATTTGAGTACTGAGCACTTTAATGAAGATACACGCACAGTATTATGGATTAATTTTTTATTATTGGACTTTTTTTTATTATTGGACATTCATCTTGGATGATCTGTTATCCACTGTATATGTTACACTGTTGAGTGCTGTTTCTAAAATGTCTTTTGTTTCTATAACATATACCACAGATACCTGTGTATGATAGCAATAGACAGAGTTTTACACAGAGTTTTATCTAGGAAGATGAGGTCTTATTGCAATCTAATTTCCATTTTAATGGGAAAATATGCTCACAGACAAAACAGAGAAACATAAAAAGAAATTAAATTAAAAACAGCTACTATGTTTTGCTTTGATCCCTTCATCCTCACCCACACACAACCCCACACACTGTAAACAAACCAAGACAGGTATTTATTTCTCTTGCCAGCATCCAAAGCCCTAAACTGAATAGTTAGTCTTTATCAATCATGGTAGGGGAATGAAGAGGTTAATAGCACATAAACAAAAACAGAAATGCGCTTCAGAGGTACTCTATGCTCTGTGTATTTAAACCCCTCCAGTTGAAAAAAAGGGTTGTCAGGCCTAGAGATGGAAAACCCATTCTAACAAATCTACATCAAATTGCTGGAATTTGATTAGCAATTTCACACATTTGATGTTGATGAAACAGAAAGCAAAATGATGTTTGATGTTACCAGACAAATTTCACAGGATAATGATAATAGCGGACTGTTTATATGAGTTTTTTGCTGCAGCATAACAGCCTTCCTACTGTGTTACAGTTAACATTCACTGTTAGTCATGTTAAACAATAAAATATATAATATATTACATGGTTTGCTTGTCTGTCTATGGACCAGTTAGGTCGGGAATACCTGACCTATTTCTAAGTCAGTAAATGGTGTGGTCCAACATTTGACTACATGTTTCTCATCTGCCTCTATTACTAATCCATTTACTCTATGGTAAGGTTCAGCAAGCTCACCTCTGTATGCTTGGCTGATCTCTTGTTACCTTGTTGAAAAGCCTGCCAGTGGATTACATAAGTCTTCCTTTTAATTAGAAAGAAAAGCAGCCGAGAAGCCTGTGTACTTAACTGTAATCTCCAGACTCAGTACAGATGTGTGATTTATCCCAGCAATCTGTGATAAGATTGTATTCCACTTTTGTTCTCACTGACGTTTTGGCACCTGTGCTGTTTGTGTTGTGATACGCTTTACAACTTTACCTGTAATTACTAAAGATTCCATATATGATAACCCTCTAGCTGATAACATGCTTGAAGTAGATTAACTTAAAGTCTATGTAAACCCTAACAATTAAATTATCTTTTTTGCTCATTTCAGGCCTGTTAAAATGACCACTAAAAGTGTATTCAATACTCTGCAAAATTCACTTTTGTGAACTGCAGAACAATTGCTACTATGCTCAGGGGCGGACTGACATTTGGAAACTCGGGCACTGCCCGAGGGCCTGGAGTCAGTAGGGGGCCCCATGAGATGCCCCTGGTACTTTTTTCATAGGCTTTTTTGAGTTTGGGCAAGGACACAGGGGCCCCATGATCCCCTATTGCCCGGGGGCCACATGAGTTGTCAGTCCGCCCCTGACTATGCTATGGGAAGAGGAGAGAGGGAGCTGTTCTGTAGTACTAACACATTTTTTACCTAGAGTGATAGCACTGCATTTTCATATTTACAGTGAGTGAGTATTATCCCCCCAGCACAGGAAATGTGTTACTAGCAGGGTCTCCAAGTAATAATAAAGCAAAAAAAAAAAAAAGAAAAAATCCTCAAAAAAGAAAACAAATGCAGCCACCACATCTAAGGATGAGTAAGCTGTAATATACAGTATAATATTTTTGTTCATGGGTCTAACTAAAATGTATTGGTTCTCCATGAGATATTACATATAAGTGCAATGCATTATTACCAAGGTTTTCTTAAGCAAATAGATTTCCAAATATACTTACCTATAGGATATTCTGACTTTTTTACAGGATGTAATAATCAAGACAGCCAAATACCTTTGTCTCAGAACATCAAAGATCTTGTTTAATAAAGTGTGAAGTGCAGTGCGAAAAGTTAAGCTGTGTTCACTTCAATCAGTCATTGCAAGAGAAAAATGTTTTTTTTTTTTTTATTTTGCATAATTTATGGAATATATATATATATATATATATATATATATATACTGTATATACACATACTGTATATACTGATTAACCGTAGCTTTATGACCACCCACTTCTTCACATACTGCATCCTGGTGCCTACTGTTCTGATGCTCCAGGTAAGGGATGCACATGTACCTGGCCATCCACATGAAGAAAAAGAACCAGCCATTTTCTCCAATTGCTCCTTTTGGGTGTGGACATGGGTCAGAATGGGCTCACTGACCTCCAACAAACTGTGATGCCCATTTTGTCTGTCTTTAACACATCAATTTCAGGGACAACATATTTACTTTCTGCCTAATATACCACATTGACTTTCTGATGCCATTGTAACAAGAAAATCAATGTTATTCACTTAAACTGTCAGCGATTATAAAGTTAAAGGTGATAAATATAACTTGATATGTTAAAAGCAGAAAAACAGGTAAGTGTAAGGATTTGAGTGACATTGACAAGGGCCAAATTGTAATGGCTAGATGACTGGGTCACAACATCTCCAAAACTGCAGCTGTTGTGGTATATTCCCGGTCTGTAGTGGTCAGGACCTAACAAAAGTGGTCCAAGGAAGGAAACACCAGTGAATGGCTGACCAAGGCTCGTTGATGCACATGAGGAACAAAGCCTGGCCCATGTAATCCAATACAAAACAAGAGCTACTGTATCTTAAAAGGTTGATGCTGGTTCCAATAGAAAGGTGTCAGAGCACAGTGCATTGCAGTTTGTGGGCCAGGTCTGGGTGCCCCTGCTGACCAGTTTCTACAGCAAAAAGTGCCTAAAATGGATCATGGAGCAATGGAAGAAGGTGACCTGGTCTGATAAATTCAAGAAGGATTTGAGGAACACAACAATGAGTTTGAGGTGTTGACTTGGCCTCCAAATTCTCTAGATTGAGCACCTGTGGGATGTGCTGGAAAAACCAGGTCAATCTATGGGGGCTCCACCTTGCAAATTACAGGACTTAAAGGATCTGCTGATGGCTTGGTGTATACCTTCAGAGGTTTAGTGGGGTCTATGCCTGGATGGGTTATGGTGGCTAATCATAAAGTCATAGCTGATCGGTGTGTGTGTATCTGTGTGTGTGAGTGTGTGTGTGTTCAAGTTGAACAGACATGCACAAATATATTTACTTATGCTTGTTAACCTACTGTATGTACTGAGAAGGTATCCAAGTCAATATCCAAGGATCAACACATATCTACTAGTATCAGCTAGTAAAAACAATCAACTCAGGGTGTTCTGCTTTGGACAGTGGCATGATAAGTGAGTTCAAGCCAATGCATGATCCCGATCTAGCCAAAATTATCTGGATGTAGAAAAATATTGGAATATTTATTAATACATTAAGGGTAACCAGAGGGGTGAAGTTAGAAGTAGAGTTTCTCTTGTATGGAAATGCTTTGACATTACTTATGGGCCCAGTTATAATGCAGCAGTATGACCTTACTCTCTGCTTAAAATAAATAAATAAATAAACACATTTATAAATCACAGTGTTGTACTTCACAATATAATTAAAGTGTCACTAAACCCAGGACCCTGCATTCACTATATCTGGTTTACCACAGTACACAGTACATGGAAATGCAATTATTTTAGTAAATATAAACCGCAGAATACCTTTTCTCATCAGCAGTTAGAGCAGTCTTGTGACTTCTATCAGTGTTCAGCAGAACACTGGTTTAAGCTTGTGGGAGTTTTCTTTCTGCTTTTGGAGGATGCAAAACCCCTGACCTTTGTCTGGGCCATGCTGATTGGCCCTGTGCTGATCACATGCACTCTGCCAACAAAAAAAATATGTCTCTAGCAATACACATCAAACTGAGCATGTGCAGAGTGTATCCACACGATGTCTTATCAAGAGATAAGAGGGGGACACGGGAAGAAGAGGAGGATCAGAGAAGTCAGAATCAAAGAGCATTTTTAAACAAACGCAGAGGATCAACCCCTTAGGTTCCACAGTGTGTGTAACAAATATGCTTTACTGCATATACAGACTGATTTCGCAGTGGGGGGTTTAGTAACACTTTAACAGTTCAATTGCTTTTGGTACAAAGCAAGTAAAACCCTATTCACTTCAATTAATAAAGTAAAAAAGTGCCAGGAGAAGGAGAGCCCAGTCAGATTATTTTTCAGAGCTATGTGTAGCATTATGCAGATAATACTCTGTAGAACAGAGCAGTACAATGTGCTCAGCAGGGAATCTGACTGCTGATCCCCGCTGAACAGAGCAGAGTGAGCAGATGACAGTCCGGGGTTTATTTACTATAGCTGGAGAGTGCAAAATCAGACTCACTTCTGCATAGAAACCAATCAGCTTCCAGGTTTCATTGCAAAAGCTTAATTGAACAAGCTGAGGTTAGACGCTGATTGGTTTCTATGCAGAAGGGAGTCTGATTTTGGACTCTCCAGCTTTAGTAAATAAACCCCTCCATGTCTGCTTAGTTGATGCAGAGTAGACTCAGACCGAGCATGCTTTGCTCTATGGGAGGCCAGACCAGCTGTCTGTTTACTCCCGACTGCTCTCTGATCCAATCCACCTAGATGAAGGGGGATGGATATTCTTCCTTTATGCAAAGTTATGCATTTGGAGGCTAAAAATATGCATGCGCCATAAATACTAAGGGTAATATAACTGGAGGAATCAATGGTGGAGAAGGATCTGGGAGTTCTGGTAGATCACAAGCTTAATAAAGGCATGCAATGCCAAGCTGCAGTTTCTAAAGCGAGCAAAATCCTCTCTTGTATTAAAATAGGTATAGACTCCAGAGAGAAAGATATCATATTACCCTGTGCAAATCATTAGTAAGACCTCATTTGGAATATGCAGTTCAGTTTTGGACACCAGTTTATGAACAGGATATTAGAGAACTGGAGAAAGTACAGAGAAGGGCAACCAAACTGATAAGAGGCTTAGAGGAGCTCCGCTATGAGGAAAGATTAGAGGAACTGAATGAATTCTCTCTTGAGAAGAGAAGATTAAGAGGGGATATGATCAAAATGCATAATTACTTCAGTGGCCCATTTAGTGAACTTGGTGTAGAGTTATTCACCTTAAGGTCATGACAAAAGACAAGGGGGCACTCTTTACATCTGGAGGTAACAAAATGTAATCTCTAAATACGAAAAGACTTCTTCACAGTAAGAGCTGTGAAAATGTGGAATAGGCTACCTCAAGGGATGGTTCTGGCCAGCTTAATAGATTGCTTTAAAAAATCCTGGACACATAATATAACTGGATACTATCATTTATAGGTAAAGTTGATGCAGGGAATATCCAATTGCCTCTTGGAGGATCAGGGGGGATTTTTTTCCCCTGCTGGAGCAAACTGCTTTGTTGGGGGGGCTTGCTTTCCTCTGGATCAACTGTGGGTATAGGATAGAGTATATGGAGGTTTTCTATTTGCGCATGTGTGTATTTTTTTATTTCCCTGTTAGATGAAGTGGATGGACTTGTGTCTTTTTTCAACCAGATTAACTATGTGCAGTAACTATTGATTTTTTTTAGCGGATTGGATTGGATGTAGGCAGATGCAGACAGGCGCAAGTCCGTTTACACTTGCTAGTCCATAGGAAAACATGGACCATCCAAACAGGTCCACCTGAAAAACTGACATGAGGATCTAATCAGATCACCCATGTGAAAGGGGCCTAAAGCTCTATTTTTAATTGGCTTTTAACATGCAGGGGCAGTGTGGACCAAACACTGTTGAAGTACTCAGCAGTAAGTGGATAGTGATATTCTTTCCCTGTTATACTGTAAATGTGCCCTTCACTGTTTTAAATGTTCACTTACTGTAGTTCTTTTAGCGCCTTCATTTACAGTATCTTTATAAAGCAAAGACTACTTAGAGGAGGGAATATGTACATCATTACCCCTCCAAAAGATCTTTTGTCAGATAATCATGCTTTTAAAAGTTATATGGTTACAGCATACACTTTTCATTTCATAACATTAGTATATTGCTGCAATACAAACTAGTTACAGTATATTTAACAAATCAATATAAGAATACTTAAAAATTACTTTTCATGTTGTGAGTTCTGCTTGTTTGCTGGCCATCTCTTTCCACAATTTTGTAGATGCACTGCACTTTTTGCCACGTTTCACTCATTCCTTTGATTTTTATTTACAATTTCTAAGGACTGCATATCCCATGGTGCCTTACAGCCTGCAACCAGTGATTGCTGCACTGACTCTGCCTCCTGAAACTCCTCCTCTCAGCACTTCTGTAGTTCAGAAGGCAGGCTCTGTGAAATGTGTGACACAGCAGTGCCTACTAACTGAGCATAGCGAATATGTGTCACAGAATTCCAGGAAGTAAATGTGTGAAATTCTAAAAGGGAGTTTACAGACTTCAAGATTGTTCAGAATAATAGGAATAGGCTTGAATCATAATGTGCAAATGAATATATGATTTTACATTTTGACCATAGATACATTTTAAATCAGATTGCAGAAGAGATTTGGGCATAATCATGGATAAGTAAAAATGTTTAGCAATTCGCACTTGAAAAATAATTTAAACATCATGTGAAATTTGCAATGATAATTGTTCTTCTTCTACAAGCAGCCAGAGGTGCTTTTTTCTGGAAGCAGAAATAGAATGTGCCATAGTGCATTTAAAAATGTTCACTAAGTAATTAGCAATTATGCCACGTTTGGACTGATGTAGTGGCTAAGCAAAATCATAGCAACTAGCTAAGCAATGCAACATGACATATGTCATTAGCCATAAAAAGAGTTTTTCTACCCAGTGAGCAGACACTATGCTTCATAGAGCATCGGATGCATAATCTGTCTAACAAACGATCGTTGTACAAATATGTATGTTTGCACCACATTGCTGTACAAGTTTGCATCAGTTGAGCTTGCCTGCTATGTCTATGGATGGAGAAGCTTTGCAGGTGGCAGCTGTCTGGGGGAAAAACAAAAGATTGCTTTCCAAAGTTGACTGAAGCAGGCGGCACAACAAATATTCCCTGACCTGACTGCAATTGGCCAGGTTGGGTAAACATTCTTATACGTCTTTAGGCGATTATGAAGTATGCGATTATGGTTCTTTATGAGTCTTTATAGAGAGAGCTTTTTAAACTTCAATTTACTTCCCTATTTGTACGAAGCTCTTTGTGTGAGGAGCCCATGAAACATTGGTTGCCTTGGAGCATCAAATGTTAATTTTAAATTTAGCAGTCCATTACATAATTCTTGTTTTTTTTCCTCTCTTTTTATAATATAGATAGTATTAATTAATTTCTAAACCATTTACAGAGGACAGCTTTTGCATCAAAGGCCAGTGGTGTCTTTATAAACTAAAATTTAAAAAATCTCCTTACGTTCTTGTTCCTAAAAATGTTAATATGTACACTGTTTCATGCACCAATTATCTAAACACATTCAAAGAGACTTATAGTGAGTAGTGAGCTAAAAATAGTCAAGAAATACCAATTCATACCCATTATCCTATTCAGTAGCCATTCTGGATAGCCTACCTCAGTTTTTTTCTTTACTTTTGTCTGTGCCAAAAGATATTTATTTTTTTAGTTATTACAACAACAGAATTTTTGACTACTATGTAATGTGAGGGGCTTATTGTCACAGATAAGCCACAGAGCTTTTCTCTCACCTGTGGTTCCACTGCTACCTCTTGCCTAGTCTATTTAAACTCAGTTCAACTTTCAGCTTATTGCCTGGGCAATGATTAAGCAAGCTAGCTGCCAAATATTGTACCTGTCTGATATTCAGCTTGCTTTCCACCATTAATTTCTTTGTACTGATGTATGGATTTTTTCTTGGTTATCTGACTTAAAGTGTTACTAAACCCAGGACCCTGCATTCGCTATATCCGCTCTCCCACAGTACACACAACATGGAAATGCAATTATTTTGGTAAATAGAAACTGCTAAATACCTTTTCTCATCAGCAGTTAGAGCAGTCTTATGACTTCAGCTGAGTACTGGTTAAAGCTTGTAATAAGAGCTTTCTTTCTGCTCTAGGGAGATGTAAAACCTCTGACCCTCTGTCTGGAGAGTGCTGATTGGCCCTGTGCTGATTACATGCACTCTCCCATGAAAAAAAACCTCTTTAGCAATACACATAAACTAAGCATGTGCAGAAGGGGTATGGGTTTAGTCTGTTTTATCAGAGTGGACATTTGAAGGAGGGGCAGAGAAGTCAGGATCAAACAGCCTTTTTACACAATGTGGAGGATTAACCCCTTAAGTTCCACAGTGAGTATAACAAGCATGCTTTACTGCATATACAGACTGATTTTACTGTTGTGGGTTTAGTAACACTTTAACTATGTGCCTTGACCCTTGGCTTTTTTACTAGCTATCCAAGTCTGCAACCTTCACTTACCCTTGATTTCATTCCTACTTTTTTAAGTCTGCTGCTGGACTTGACCTTTGACCTGTAACTTCCCTAGTATGTTCCAACTAGCTCCATCATCTGGACCAACGATGCAGTGTACCTTCCTTCTTTAGACCTATGTCCTGGTACCTCCTTGTCTCCAAGTATCTGGCTGTGAGTAGAGTGAACCTTGGACCACAATACAGGGTCAGCATTTATCCACCTCCACCATCAGAAGGTCTGGTGAATACCAGCTGGCTCTTTGACTCTGTACCCTGGGGGATCCCGCGTTATTTACTCTCATCTCTACCTACCACCAGTTGGCAAAGTGGGTCCATTATTATTTTCCCGTTTGTGGCACTAATTAAACAATAATGTCCAGCCAGGTAGACCCTCATCCAACTCACTTAATGGGAAGCATTGTCTATCTGACAGATCAAAATCAGACAGCATGTTACTAGACATTCTTTGCTTTGCTATTGATTCATTGCCTGGCAAATGTGCCCATGCACACAAAATCTAAGGCTTTGCTGGTCACATAGATATACCGAAGAAGTATTCTATGTGGGAATAGGGGAAACAAGCTATTACAGGATGAGACAGGGGTTCACGACTACCTAAGATGTATGCTGTTTGCATTGCTCCGACTGAGATTACATGGTACGCTGCATGTCATTCATGACCATCCCAGGAAGAATATTGAAACTTGAAAATGAATTAATGAAAGATGGTAGCAGGGATCCATAGAAAGTAATGTAATTTTGATCTGATTTTGAAATTATTTCACAAGCAAGATAGCTGTATGAGAAGTGCAGCCCTCCAAAATTTACTGGGTTATTTTATGGACAGGAAATTAACAAGTTTGCAGAAAAAGATGTGAAAGAACTCATCTAATTTAAGCAATCATGTGTTGTCAATGAACCGCATGTGTGCGTAAATACTCCAGAAATTTAGAATGGACCTTAATGTTTTACATATCTTGTTTTAATGTGTAATTTGTATAAAACATGTTTTTTTTTGGGGGGGGGGGGTGCCGGTTGGTTTGCTTACAGTATGTGTAGTTTGTATATATCATGGGTATGGCTATACTTGTTTTTTATAATACAGGCCTTGCTTTCAGGTTATGTCTGACTGATCCTTTCATCTTACTGCAAGTTTACTAAGACAATAGTCTCTGCATCATGTAATGATCTGAAATACCCACAATGCTCCTCCTGGGCTAGTCATTAGAGACTACCAGTGATCAAAGCTGCCTAGCTGCTCATGCTTTAGGTCACATAAGAGTACATGATGATGTAGTCTTAAACTCTATATAATAGATGATTTGATCATGGTGACATGTGCCCTATTTCTTCCTGTGTGATACTGAATCTACTGCTAAAATTTCTTTTGTTGATGAACAGAAACAACTAATCTCTCCATCTGAAAATTTTTTTTGCCTATTTGATTGGCAGAGAAAGCATTGCATTAAAAGACAGCACGCAGCATTTTTGGGAAGCCAGCAGTGGCAGCCTACATACAGTATATTTCCCCCTTTTTTCCTTTTAGCCAACCACATGCATGAACAGCATATACCTAGAAAAAAAATCAGAATTAATTTTTTCTTTAAATGAGATCTTCATGAAATCTCTACCAAAAGGACAACAGGAAGTAAGTGTAATGTGTTAGGTCAGTGCTTCCAGTCTGTCAGCTCTCTTTTTCTTGTCCCAGCTATTTTGTTTTATGAAATGGAAGTCTATGGGGGGATTTACTAACACTGGTGCACACAGAATCTGGTGAAGTTCTGTATAGAAAACAATCCGTGTCCACATTTTATTGGCAAAGCTTAATTGAACAAGCTGAAGTTAGAAGCTGATTGGCTACCATGCACAGCCACACCAAATTCTGAGTGCTCCAGTTTTAGTAAATTTTCCCCTATGCTGCCATTATTTGCAGCAACTAATTTGATGAAGAAAAAAAGTAAAGAAATACAATGCCTTTAAAAAGTATTGAAATTTTCCACATTTTGTCATGTTACAACCAAAAACATAAATGTATTTTATCGGGATTTTATGCGATAGACCAACACCAAGTCGCACATAATATTTTTAGTGGAAAGAAAATGATAAATGGTTTTCAACATTTTTTACAAATAAATATCTGAAAAGTGTGGCTTGCATTTGTATTTATCCCCCCCTGTGTCAATACTTTGTAGAAGCACCTTTCGCTGCAGTTAAAGCTGCGGGTCTTTTTGAGTATGTCTCTATCAGCTTTGCACATCTAGAGAATGACATTTTTGCCCATTCTTCTTTGCAAAATAGCTCAAGCTCTGTCAGATTGGATGGAGAGCGTCTGTGAACAGCAATTTTCAAATCTTGACATAGATTCTCAATTGGATTTAGGAGTGGGCTTTGGCTGGGCCATTCTAACACATGGATATGCTTTGATCTAAACAATTTCATTGTAGCTCTGGCTGTATGTTTAGGGTAATTGTCCTGCTGGAAGGTGAACCTCCGCCCCAGTCTTAAGTCTTTTGCAGACTCTAACAGGTTTTCTTCTAAGATTTCTATGTATTTGTCTCCATCCATCTTCCCATTAACTCTGACCAGCTTCCCTGTCCCTGCTGAAGAAAAGCATCCCCACAACATGATGCTGCCACCACCATGTTTCACGGTGGGGATGGTGTGTTTTGGGTGATGTGCAGTGTTAATTTTTGCCACACATAGCATTTTGCTTTTTGGCCTCATTGATCTCATTTGACCAGATCACCTTTGTCCTCATGTTTGCTGTGTCCCCCACATGGCTTCTTGCAAACTGCAAACAGGACTTCTTATAGCTTTCTTCCAACAATGACTTTCTTCTTGCCACTCTTCCATAAAGGCCAGATTTGTGGAGTGCATAACTAATAGTTGTCCTGTGGACAGATTCTCCCACCTGAGCTGTGGATCTCTGCAGCTCCACCAGAGTTACCATGGGCCTCTTGGCTGCTTCTCTGATTAATGCTCTTCTTGCCCGGCCTGTCAGTTTAGGTGGACGGACATGTCTTGCTAGGTTTGCAGTTGTGACATACTCTATTTTCAAGTGATAGATTTAACAGTGCTTCATGAGATGTTCAAAGCTTGGGATATTTTTTTTCATAACCCAACCCTGCTTTAAACTTCTCCACAACTTTATCCCTGGCCTGTCTGGTGTCTTTCTTGGCCTTCATGATACTGTATGTTCACTAATGTTCTCTAACAAACCTATGAGGACTTCACCGAACAGTTGTATTTATACTGAGATTACATTACACACAGGTGAACTCTATTTACTAAATAGGTGACTTCTTAAGGCAATTTGTTCCACTAGATTTCAGTTAGGGGTATCATAGTAAAGGGGGCTAAATACAAATGCTCGCCATACTTTTCAGATATTTATTTGAAAAAAATTGGAAAACCATTCATTTATTTTTCCTTTTTTCTTCCACTTCACAATTATGTGCCACTTTGTATTGGTCTATCACATAAAATCCCAATAAAATACATTTACGTTTTTGGTTGTGACAAAATGTGGAACATTTCAAGGGGTATGAATACTTTTTCAAGGCACTGTAGCATGGACCAGAACACATTACATATACCTCCAACTCTCATTTCTGTACACATTTGACGACTGTGTTTTTGGAAAGCTAAATCTGGGAAGGACAGTATGTACTGTAGGCAAATGTAATTAGCTCCTTAAACATACCTCTCATTGTCATTTACATAACTGTTTACAGGATTTCACCTTTACTATTAGCCTCTTACATTGTACTGAGATATTTGTATATTTTCCTCTTCAACTCTTTTAAAAAGTCCAAGCAAAGCAGAAGCTGAACAGAGCTATTGCCATGGTACCAAAATCAACTGACAAATTTCATAGCTGTATGACTTAACAAGACATGATAGAATTCTAACTTTTCTACCAAAAAGAAAAAAATCTACTATTTTTAAACATATGTAGGCTCAGGGCAGCATTGATAATAGCCTTTGAGAAAGTACAGATGGTACCTTCATACCGTATTGTGCTGTGTGAAATCATATTACAGAGCTGAGAACTGGTTTATTTAAAATTGAATAGAGCAATATTATGCTTTAGGTGGGAACTGTTAACAAAACTGAGTTCAACAAATATTTGATGCTACACATATTACATTAAATATGCTATTGAATGTAGAATCACATAACGTTAATATGTGTTTAGCAAATGTATTCTAAGTTTCCAAATGTTTTATGTATTAGCAACACATGAATAACAAGTTCTCTATTAGACTTACTATGGCTATCTTAAACAACATGCCATTTTAACTAGGCACCACACAAATGAGGCTCAATTTTGTTCTGTAAAGAGAGCCTTTTAGCAGACACAGGTTCATAGAGCTGGAGTACAGCTTTCTTTTTATAACAAGTCATATAAAGACAAATAACTACTAAGATTATCATATGGTAACAATTGTTTTCTATGTGCCCTAGTGGTGACGGGTGATTTTACAGTGCAAACAAATGCCAGTCATTGCTCAAGTGTGAACAGTCCTCACTGTTGTCAGGAACAGACTCATTTAGTGCATATTTCCTATTCCCATTTCCACAGGATGCAGCTTCACACAGTTCAAAATACACTTACCTAATCTAAACAATCAATCTTTATTGTCCATTCCACATAATGGACAGCACACAGGAGAAAGGTATCTACGCGTTTCATCTAGTATGGCAGACTTCATCAGGAATGAGAACTGGAAAAAAAGGCGCTGTGGAAAATGCT